ATTTTCTCACCAACCTATGGAACTGTATCAAACCAGTGGATACAGACAATCAGTGTTTGTCGCTGTCACAGAACTGACTGATCCAAAGCTAAAGGTGAAAATGTAACTTTTTGTCACCTTCACTGAGGCGACAGGCCCACACCTAAAGGTCAGATCCATCAAACTTCAGCAGCGGACCTGAGCCAGTTCCTGCGGCTGTAACATGTGTGTTTATACTGTACATCAGCTCTTTGCAGCGGACTCTTCTCTTTATATACAGAAAGCTGTTGTTTATTTATTAAAGAAATTCATGTCAGAATAAGCCCATAAGAACATTCATAATAAAACATTTAAATTCCACTCCAGGAATTTCAGCAGCTTTTATGCATTTTTCATGCTTGGCTTCTTTTCCGGATGTGAAAACGACGTCCATTTTTCATCCTCAGCCTAAGTTCTTGGCAAAACACCATCATCCGCTACTGGTGAGCTCAGTGCAGCAGAGAAAACTTACAAATAGCCGTTTAATGTGTTTTTGGCCTGAACTTATTTCCAATTATTGGAAGTTGTCTGCCACCCACTCCACAGCCGAAACCTTTGGGCTCCTGTCTGGACAAGTCACGCATCAGATGGACAGCAGTTCAGTCCATTCACTGACTGGACCGAGGGTTAGACTGTGTGTGTATGTGTGTGCGTGCCTTTCGGCACAGCACTCACTGTAAAAACACTGTTTTTCAGGATGTGTGTGTGGGTGGATGGGTGTGTATGGGCTCTAGGTGCTCGGCCAGACCAGAAGAGCACCACATGAATGCAGTCCTTTTTACAGCAGCGTGTTCCTGCGCTGTTGCCGTGGTAATGTCTGTAAACAGCCTTGTCATGCCCATGGAAGACCTCGGCGGGAGAGCTGACAGTAAAGACTGAAAAAAAGAGCGAGAGAGTTATTTGAAAAAGGTATTTTATTTGATCAGCGTTTGGTGAAGGTCTTAAGCCCAGCAGCTTCTGTGCCACTTGCTGAGGTAATAAAAATAATAACCGGTAAAGGGTTAGTTCAGATTTTTCCATATTGACATCAGAGTATGTAAGCATCAGCATATCATCAGGCTGCCCCCCTCACGTCCCCCAACCAGGCTGTTCTACTCAGCACCCCTGTAAAATTGCACCCACTTTACAGAGTGAAAAGTGAAAAAACAGTGTTTGTCTGCTGTGGCCTCACGTTGCAGGATTGGTTCACTGATTTCAAACATGTGTCATTCAGTTACAATAAGAATCGGAAATACTTTTTGATCCCTCAGGTAATTAAACGAGCATCGTTGCACATGCGCACTAAACATGTAAAGCGTCTTTAGTAAACTTGGCAACTGGTAGCACAGCAAAGGTTCCCGTTTCTAAGCAAAGTAGAAACGTTTGCTTTGGACTTTGATGAGGGAGAGTAAGAAGTTTACGAACTTTAGTTTCTGATGAAATAATGGGCAATTATTTTCTTTGACTATAAAGAAACACCACGTTTTAACACGCAGTTTATCAAACGGTGGACTGTTTTTTATTATTATTATTATTGTTTCATTTAAACATTGAGTTCCTTTTTCTAATTTTCTTTTGGAATTATTTAACTGTAGAACCGAAATGATACCAAAGGGTAAAGCGCTGATATCCCAGTGCGCAGAGCTGCAGCTGCTCATCCACGAGCCACTGCTGCCCTCCAGTGTCTAAAAGGTTGCTACTGTAAATAATATATTTTTTAATATTTTTAATAAAGGAAATAAATAAATAAAACCACTTAGACAGTTGAAAGATTTTTTTTTGTAAAATCGGTGGAGTAAATAACAAAAGCAGTTAAAATGGTTAGTTTTCTCAATGGAATTTGTTTCAGTGGAGTATTCAGTGGAGTAAACTTGTGTTTTTCAGTCTAAAAAGAGCTGTTAAAAGGAGGATAAAGCGACTAACATCATTTTGGGATATTGCGGAGTCAGCAGCTCCAGACTGCAATGTCCTGCAGCTGTGGTCACAAGCACAAGGAGAAGAAAAAGAATGTAATAAAAACAACTTAAAACTTTTTCTTTTCATCCAGAACTCTGTGGATTTTTTTTCTTAAAAAGAATCAATGCCTGCAGCCTGAGTTGACAACAAGCAGCAAAGTTTTTGAGGACACACATGAAGGTGAAGTCGAAGCAGCAAAACAAGAAAAAGCAGCCTACGGCAAGCCTGCAGGCCAAAACACCACTAGCTGAAATATGTAAACAAATATACTGTATAATTACTTTGGACCTTTGCAGAATTTTATTAGGGTTGTCTAAAAACTAATGCCATTATTTTTTAAAGGTTTTATTATGTGTTGTTGGAACTTGTTGGAAAGGGTTACTTATTTCTAAGTCAACTTCCCTGGTGTCTGCCTTTGCATCCATACAGCTTCCATTTTAATGAAGTAAATTTAATTGAAAACACTTTAATCAGACGCCTGGGAAATCATCCTGTAACATCAGCATGTAACAGGAAGTTGAAGAATAGCAGCAATAGAGAGAAAAAAAATGCAAGGAGAAGCTGTTGAAGGTGCACGCTGGAAACAGTACAAAAAACACTGAAACATACCGTAACAGTGTTTTCTAATTTTGTAACAGTGTCTGTCCATCTTTTACACTAAGCTGAACTATTGTCCATCCTTGTACATGTGGAAAGTGTTTGTTTTAGAGCTGATGTCTTCGAGGTTTTTTCACACCACTAACCTGGTGGGGTTTGGATTAAACACATCCTAAACAAAACAGTACTCGCTAATACTGATACACATAAAAAGGAAATATAAATCACACCATATAAAGGAAAACCAAAAGTATACTCACACCATATAAAGGAAAACCAAAAGTCTCATTGAGCGGTAACTAGGACACTCAACTTGCGGCCCGCAGGCCAAATCCAGCCCAGTAAACTGTCCAATCTGGCCCAGGACTGGTTTCCCCAAAAAACATCAAATAATATTAAACAAAAAAGGTGATTTTTATTTAATATTTATTTAATTTTGTATGTCCTTGTGGTTTCTTACTGACAACCAGACTAGCCCGGACATGCACGGATGTTGACATTTGCTAATGTCAAGATGTTGCGGTGCTACAACAGTGGCACGTGACGGAAGAGAGGTCAGTGATCTTGCCTTACAGCAAAGTGGCATTGTGAACCCTGGGCTCTCCGTATGGAGTTGGCATGATCTCCCTGTCTGTTCTGTGTGTTCTCCTTTGGCAAGTTCTTCCTTGGCACCAAGAACAGACACAGGTTCAGCTGGTTACAGTCTTTACTGTCTGAGGTAACTGGAACTGGAATTAACAGCAAAGACTGCTGCCGCTCCATCTCCTCTCCTCAGCCAACGAGGTCATAAATGGTAAATAAGAAGATAAAATCTTTAAAAATCAGCCCGTATGGGTAACACCTTAGTGTCAGAGGAAACTTGTGTGTGTGTGAATCATAACCCCCCCCCCTCCTCTGTTTTCCCTTTTTTTAATACAAACAGTTTATTCCTGCGGTCCTAAATCATATTCTGGCTCTTTTATCATCTCCAACGACTGGAGCAAAATTAAACACCTGTTGTTGCCAGGCGGCCCCCACTTTATTTATCGCTTCTTTTACTTTATCCGCCGTCGAGGCCCCGGTGCCATTTTCCTTCGCAGCAGGTGAATCTACTTCCTGTTCTCCTGGGATATCCTCAGAGGACCAAAATGTCCGTGGGTTTCTGTCAGAACACAGAGATTTATGTTGTGGTCGTGTTATTACATTTTACAAACACTATTGTGGGTTTTAATGGAGTCTGTATTGGATTTTTTGTTTTCCTCGGTCTGAAACAAACTGAGCCATAGCAGCTTCTATATATTTTTTTCTCTACCAATGTGTTCGCTCTTTACTTTGCTTCGTGTTTGTAATAAATGTATTTGTTTGGCCTAAAAAATAAAAACAGGGTTTTTGAAATAAAGGTTACCTCAGCAGACATTCAGCTTATCAGTACCTGGAACTCATTGGGGTTTGAAAAAGGGACACCAGGAGAAAATGGTCCAATGAAAGGAACAGTTCAGTCAGTGCATCGGTGAATGAGATCATGTTTATCAAAATATGTCTGATGGTAAGAGTGAGTAAAACTGTCAGGTAAAAAGTCCATGCAGTCTTAATTTAAATTATGGGCTAATATGCTTTAAATGAGTAAATGTTATTTTATTGTTATTTTATTTACTGTTTTCCATTATCTGTTTTTATTGCTTTCCATTCCTTTATTTTCTAACTTGTATCTTCATTAGCTATGTTTTCTTCCTTAAACTATCTAACATTTTTAAAACTCTACATAATAGAGATTACTCTACACTGTAGAGTTACTTTTAAAAGATGCTATAATTATGTTTGAAGGAAGCCATTCCATATTACCCACATAACAATTTCAATATTAGTGTTCAGGAGACCGTGAAGTGAGAACAACTACCAATCCATGTTTTTATCACCACAAAAAGAAGTAATTAAAACGAACAACTCTACTACAGAAATAAACACAAGTTAGATATTTCACGGGTCGCAGACAGATCTTCAAAAACAACTTGAGACAGAAACAAAGAGGCTGTTCATAATTGTTTCTTTTTTTAATGTATTTTTGCGAATGTATTTTTGCGAATAGACGGGAGGTGAGACAAAATCAAAACTTTGAAAAAATGAAAACCTCACTCTAAATTAAACAATCAACTAAATCTGTATGTTTTTAGACAGGACCGTCCTTTTGGACCAGGTTCTGGTTTCCAGTAGAACCATGAAGACCGATTTTTTTTTTTTTTTAATTCATTGTCAAACAGATACACATGGCTTTTTACTCAACCCTCCCGCTAGATGGAGTCAATGAGGTACTGCAGGGATTCTGTACTTTTCCTCCTATCACAGCAGCGCTTTCCAAATAAAGTTCTGAACGCAGTTTACACATGATACACATTTTATTGAAAAAAAAGTTTCAAATCGTTTTTATTTCAGTGTAACAATAAAAAGACAAATGCCAATACAAAACCTTTCTCTTTTTTTTTTTTTTTTTTTTTTTTTTACAAAAGACTATTTACAAAGTGCTTTTTGTCTTGTTTGCAAAACACAGAAAACTCACAAGAGAGAAAAAAAAAGGTTTGGTTGAAATTTAAAGGAAACATTCATCAAACAAACGTATACAGCGAATCTCTGGTGAAACAACACAGAAATGCTGTTGAACTTGGGATGTTTAGACTGAGCAGTGTTTCGCCTGTGCTTTGCTCTTTGTCATTCAGAAGACCAGAAAAACAAAGAGGGATTTCCTGCGAGTTATTGGCGTTTTCTCTTGATGTTTGTGACCAAGTGAGTCAGAAACACTGAAATGAAGCTAAAGATATTCTGTGACTGCAAAACAAAACGAAGCTGGACTCGTATCCTTCCTCCTTTCCCTTTTTGATTGGTTAACTCAACCAACAAATAACCCATAATATATATATTTGTCTTTATTTACCTTTAACAGCAAATCTTTGGCTCATTGACAAAACAAAACATTTGAGAATGTTGTTACTCTTAGGTTTGGTTCAAAATGTACAACTTCTGACATTTTATACACAAAATGACCAATCAATTAGAATGACCAAAAAATATGTGTAAAAGAAATTTGAAACTCTACACAGTCCAAAATGATTTATTTCCTGGGGAGATTGTGGAAACTCTTCTTCTGCCAATTCAGCTCACATTCACTTTAATGTGTAGTCTGTAGTCTGGCTTTGGCTTTTTGCCAGTTACAGCAACTGCAAGAAACAGTGATATGACTGTTTCCACCAGTATCAGTGAGGCTGACTCGGTTCTACATATTTACATCAACATTTGCGTTGGTTTTCTCTGGCGTCTGAACTGAAGAGGTTTGTCTGGGGCATGTCCTCCATTTTCACAGCAAAACATCATAATGTTATTGTCTTCTTTCCCAAATAAAAAATTGGAGGTTTCGATCTTGCCAATTCCAAATAGTGGCCTGTGGGCCACATGCGGTCCAGACATAACCTCAAAGTGGTCCAATCTGTAGTCGTTTGAGAAACACAGAATAAAACTGAAAGAATTACTCCTTGTGAGTAAACAAAACTTTCTGCTATGGAATAGGTCAGATTGCTTCACCCCAGTGATATGCAACCCACAATGCATTTAGTATTTTTTAATATATTCATACGTTTTGGTCATGATATTGTAGTTACCACCGGTACATCAGCTACCATAAATGTCTGACCCAATTGGCTTTAGTGTTATGAAAATCTGGCTCATGTAAATTTATAATTCAATAGCCCTAGTGTAGGTGTTTCAAGTGCGCCCTCTGCTGGATCATGTCACTTTCTTTGCTCCTTCAAATCACAAATGCTCTCACATTGTTTATATTGACTTTTGTTTTATCGTTGGTATTTAATAGTTTCCTTTTTCTGTGGATTAGTCATCTTTCGTTTTAAAAACATCTCTTGGAGCTGGAGTCACTCAGCTTGGAGTCTCTTGTCCCAGCACACGTTACATTTCCTGGCAAAGTTCTGATGTTGTAGCCAGACCTGATCGCTTCTCAGCGTTCCCAGCACCTCTTGCTGCGTTTCCTCCTCCGGCTGCGGCTGTCGCTCCACTGCCATCCAGGCCCAGTGAGCGGCGATAGGCTGCAGAGAGTCGGTACAGGACTTCAGGTCGGGGGCCTGGGTGGGCATCAGCTTTTTGAGTCATTAGCATCTCAAACAGGGTGCTGACCTCGGATAAGAGAGCGCCGCCTAGTGGGCCGTCCTTCTCTGGAGTTTTACCTGCAGAAAAAAAATTCCAATAATTCTCCCTCTTCTGCAGTCACACAATTTGACAGAAAATCTGTGCCGGTTTGAGAATCCTAATTCTGAAGAATCTTTGAACATGAATGTGAAGATTCTCATTCATCCAGGTCCTGTTATCCAAAGAGTTCAGTCCAGTTTCTTACAACTAAACTCTTTGAATCTTTGAACATGTCATTTTCAATCTCAATCGTTGAGTTTAAATTACAGCACAGAGAAGTTGTTTATCCACTGCCGCCCTAATCTGCACGTTCAAAAAGTATTGTTCTTTACCTTCGATGTTTAAAATCTTTCAAATCTAAACGCACGAGGCCACAGTAAAACAGCAGCTCTCCAAAGCTAAAACCAACGATTTTCTCTGCGGAATTTGATGCAATGGTGCGATCACTTCACAAACTCCAATGTACTGATCATTCAACCCAACATGTTTTCATGATGTCATATAATTTACTGGTGCAGATTCTACTATAATCAGGTTCAGTCCTGGGTTGGCTGTGTTTTTAGTTTCTCAGTGATGATGAGTAAGCCACATGAAGAAGCAGCTTATCCATAAATATGTAAACACACTTACACGTGACTAAAATGTAATCAAAGTCAAGTAGGTTAAGCCTTTAAGAGACAAAATACCAGGAGCATATTCTTTTTTACCAAAGGTGGAGAAGGACGAGGAGTCAAGGCAATCCCGAGGACGCTGCTCACTTTCAGATGATGGTGGACCATTGGGGACAAAAACGTTGTCGTGGTAATCACCCGTGAGAGGAAGTGAGAGTCTGGCCATCCAGGCCGGGTCACTGACCTCTGAGAAGACGTCATCTGCAGAAACAAACATCAGAGACGTCAGAAATGACCTAAAAAGAAGAAATAAGATCAACCTAATCCAGGCTTTAATCGAAGGAATTGAGCGGCTAGTCATAGTGAAACACGTACGTGAATGATTTTGTTGTTTGTTTTGTCTAAAAATCTATATCTCTAAAATTTGAATTCCCGAAGTTTAACAACTCAGATTAGAGTCCAAAACAAAAACAGCATTTGTAAAAAAGCATGTGACTATAAGCGTCATTCAAAAGGTGCTATCAATGGTTGCAGTTTACTGCAGCCAGTGGATGCGCCCCCAACAGGTTGCCTGCTACTATTGTCCTACTTCCTGTCCTTCTGCAACAAAAACAGGTAGTTTGTGTTTGAGTCAGGAAAAAAGAGGAAATGACAGTGTGCGGATTCATCTGGAAGCCTTCAGCAGGCTCTTCCTGACATTCGTGACAGTCACCAAAACATCACGTCCACAGACACACACACACACACACATTGTAACACACAACCACCTCCGGCCCACACGGACCAGTTACTTTCAGAGACAGAAACCAACGTATATGCGTGTGTAGGTCTGAGTGACCAGAGTCTCAAACAAACATCCACCAAATGATGATACGTCTCATTACATTTAGTCATTTAGCGTAAAAACCTGCTGAAAATAAACACACACCAGCCATAGCTCCAGCCATTTTTTATACACGGTCTGTGCTTTAAATTGTAAGGTAATTGCAGAATATTTTACTAGCTGGTCACGAACGAGTGGAATATTCAACATCTGTCGCTCACTCCTTTAGCTTTAGACTGAGGATCTGACATTGAGTTCACAGTTCCACAGATGGCAAAGACACACACGCGCGAACGCACACAGGGACACACACTAATACACGGCTGTCATATCATCTTCACACCTGAACAATGGAACAGGTATGTGTGTCCGTGTGATTCACAGTGACAGTAGTGAAGGAGACGATGGAGTCACAGGTCGAAAAAAATAAAAAGGAAAGGAATGTGTTTCTCTGACGGCTTCATCAAAGACACACACACACACACACACACGGACACAGGTGTTAGTTACACTGATGGCACAGCCTGCAGGGTAGAAGGTGAGTCAAGCATCACACACATAAAATAAAAAACATACTCCCACATACTTTTTTTTCCCTTTCTCTCTCCAATGTCATAAAGTAGAACTGTCATCAGGTGGTAAACCCCCTTTCCTCTCCCTACGCCCCCAGGCTCCGACAAGCACAATACCAGGAAAGGGCCTGTGTGTGTGTTACACGCGTGCAAACACACACACACACACAAACACATACCTACAGTGTACGCTCGGAGAATCAGAGCAGGTCGACATTCTGTTGTGGATTTCCCAGCTTCAAAATGAGCCTCAAGTGTGTGATTTAGAAACACGTTTAGGTTTGAATTGTGTTAAACATTGTGACAACGTTTTGTCTGGAATGACAACGACCCACTGAGTTTTCCACTAATCTGATTTCAGCCTTTTATTTACACATGTACACATTAGGTTATAGTGGGCTGACAGCAGTTAAAAAGAGGTCAAGTTGATCATTGTTGGGTCTTAAAAATGTGTTTGCTGCTTTATCTCTCTGGCAGATGTCTTTCCTGACGGGAAACTAATGTTTTTAAATCACTCACTCTCACCACGCCAAAGTCCACAGAGAATTTTTTTTTAGCATTTTTAGCCCACTGAGACACAGGAAGAGCCGGTGCGTGGCTGCCTGATTAAGTAAGTTTTTGTCACTGGGGTAAATTAAAATAACAGATTTTGAAGACGAAGCATCAGAAAATATTACATCTGAACTTACATCAAGGCAGTATGAAGTAAGCAGCTTTGGTGTGGTAGAATGTAAGATAGTTATTTTTTCTCAATAGAATTTGGTTTGTATGAATTTGAGGTAAATAAAGAATTACACTTTGGTTTCTTCTTTAAAAGGTTATGTTTTGCTGACATATAGCATTGATGTTATTCTATTTATCACAGACAGTTTATAAAGACAATCATTCTGTCTTTTTGGCCAGTTTTTCAGCACAAGGAGCAAACAGAGCACGGTCAATATTATTTTACCTGCTGCAAACCAAAGGCACCAGTTCAGGAAAAAAATAGGAAACCTAACATAAACCTATCTTTCTATTTAAAACAAAAACATATAAACACAATCATCAAGTAAAATAAACCAGTGTCAGTGAGTTTGTGTTAGCAGCGACCTCCTGCCGAATCTGATTCATCTGGATAAAAGCCTTCAACCTTTGACCTTCCCTGCAGAACACATAAACCGATCACTTACAATGGAACCACACTGGCAAAGGTAGAGAAGGGGACAAAGGCAGGAAATAACACAGTGGCAGGTTTTACATTCACACATCCACCCACACAGCTTCTACTGATTCTGCTGTGTTTTTTTTCCTTCATGTTTATGATTCACGTGTCACGATGTGTGGCTTGAAATGTGAGGGAAACTGTTTTTAATGTTGGGGAGCAGAACCTCAGAGATATCAAGGATTAGTCCAATTAGAGTAAAGGCAAGGATTACAATTTGGTGTGTGTGTGTGTGTGTGTGAGTGTGTGTGAATGTGTGTGTATACACTGTGTACCTGGATTGTTCAGAAGGTTGTTCAGACCCTCTTCCAGCTGTGGGTCTATGGGTGAGTCTCTTCCAGCTTCCCAGTCCACATCTCCAGCCTCACTTTCTCCGTGTCCACTGTCTTTGGTGCTCTGCCAATCAGAACAGTCCTGACCTCCGTATCTGTGCAAAACACAAAGGACTATTACAAGTCTAGTCATATTGTTGTTGTTGGATATTGGCTCAAATCTACATCTGTATTATATAGTCATGTAACGACTGTTAGGCCCTGATGTCTAAGACAGGCTGGAGGTTTTTATTGTCAGGGCTAATTTGTGCTAATTTGAGTCACATCTGATATCAGTGGGATGGAGCCGATACTTCCCTTGCGGACACTTAATATGTGGATACATTTTTACACGAGAAACAAAAAGTTTTTTCTAGATTTGTATTCAGTTCAGAGAAGGAATAAAAGACAATTCCTGTGTGAATCTGAGCTGCAGAGATTAGAGATTTCAGATAACACTGATAAAATTCCTGGGGGGGGGGGGGGGTTGGAGATAAATGGAGTGATAAACACCGACAAACACTCTCTCACACACACTTTGTGCAGCTACAGTATCAGTTTGTAATATGTGTGTGTGTGTGTGTGGCCGTGGGCAGGCTCAGACAGGAAGTCAGATAAAGGTGAGTTCACAGACAAGTTAGTCACTTTACCAGAGTCGACACAAATCTTTTTGTCAGTAATAAAAGATTAATATCTTATCCGTCTGTGAGACGAGGTGACGCTCCCTCACATCTGAGATCTGGTTCAATCCTGTTTGATTCTTAATCCATTTTAGTTTATTTTATTGACATTTATTGTGACTGAAGGAGCTGAAAATAAAAAAATAAACTTTGATGAAGAAATTACATTAACTTTTCACCAAAGTGAACTACATTGTGTTTATTACAATATGTCCCATCGTGTTGTTGTCTCAGATATCATGATGTCAACGTTCACTGGGTAACCTTTGTCCCTGAAAACAAATCACAGAAACACACACTGTGAACTGTGATCATGTGTGTACTGCATTCAAAATGGTTCCATTGTGAATCACCTTGTGTATCAAGGCAAAACCAAATCTACATTTATCTTCTTCCCCACACACAAATACACACACACACACACACACACACAGAGTGTAGGGTGTTGAGACACTCTTCCTGTGACATTGAGTGTTAGATGTTGTGTCCTGTTTTCGTGTCCCTGTTATTTCAGTGGCTGCAGGTCAGTCGGTCAGAGACAGAGGAAGACATTCTTCACCTACAACTTCTGTCCTTCACCACTTCAAACAATAGCAAAAACAACCGTCACGTCGGAGACAGTGACACAACAGAGACTTCCTATATATTTAATTGTTTTTACATAAAAATATTTATATAACTATATATATATACACCAGATACTAGATAGTACTAGATCTCCCAATTTAGTCAATCCTTTCAAATACTACCTAATGTTCCACTGACACAGAGCTGTGCTGACTGTGGCTATGTGAGCTATCAAACGTAGCTCACACATGATGTTTTGCTGGTAGTTAAGGACAATCTGGCCTTGAGTATCTGCTAATTTGTGCTAATGAGGTCAATATTAACATTGTACATAGTCATAGCTAGCAAATGTAGGTGGGACTATTAAGTGTTTTCTCTGTAAGTTGTCTTCAGATTCCATACCAGTGTGAGCACTAGGTCCCAAACAGACCAAAACTCACTGGTAATCACATGTAACTCACATGAATTTTGACATTTCCCACTCTACGGCCCCTTTTTTTACCCATGGCTCTTTAGTTCACCAAATTGTGGCCCACGTGGAATACACAGACTATGACCATACACAAACCACAGGTAGTTTGTGGACATTCTCAGTCATCCACGTCATCATGGACTTGAGGTTAGTCCAGTTGCCGAGTTTAAATTGCTTTTGAGATAACTCGCAGGTAGAAATAACACAACGCTTCCACAATTTCATGATACAATCTCAGCAGTTTCAAGCTTCTTTAAAGGAATGTTTCATCCTCACACATGTAAACATTAACATTCAGGTTAAAGAGAAACATGTGTGAGCTATCAGATGGAGTCTGACCACAGCACGGAGGAGATCACAGTCCTTCAAATGCAGACATCCAAATCCTCAACAAAGCTGTGGTGCTGGAGTGAAAGGGATTTCTGTCATTTTATAGATTAGATCAGTCGTGGGTGTTTCCAGATGTTTTCATAACCCAAATTCTCATATTCCTATTTCTGTTTTTTATATTATTATTCTGTATCGCGGCCACAGAAGCATGAACTCCTTATTAAACTCATTCTGCTGTTACGCAGCTGCTCAGTTGAACAAAAAAGACAGATTAGAGCAGAACTCATTAGAGGGACAGTCCATAGCTCAATGTGGTTTTATGAAACTCTGACACAGCTGTTGGTGCTGGGTTGCATGACAGAGACAGATGTGTGGAGGCTCTCGAAGGAATCCAAGAAGACAGTGTAGGCGCGTTTCAGCCTCTGAACTAAAGACTAACGAACCTTACAAACTTTATTTAACAAACCCAATTTCCCAAAAAAAATTATGCTTACTAAAAATAAAAAACAGTTTGGAATATTTAGTTAAATCTGTTAACCAAGCAGAAGGACGTTTTCAGAGAATTGAAGTAATACATATTTGCAACACACTCAGTGCAGAGGCAAAGTCACATTAATTAGGTTACAGGTGACAGTTTCCCAGTTTAAGTGTTCACAGGTTTGGGTATCAGAATTGTGTATAGCAGTGTTTCCCAACACTGCAAATATGTTTCATTAGGAAAACCCCACGGCACAGCATCAAACAAAATTCAGTAAGTAAAAAAAGTAGACAAAAAGTATATGTAATAAAATATAATAACCTTCTAGTTTAAATATACTCACAATTCACTAAAATCTCGGCCTGTTTAGTCAAGGACAACGCTGATATACTCGCAGGAATTGAAGAAAGACACTCACTCACTCGGGGGGGTACGTCTTGGCAGATGTTAGCAAGAGATTTTCTAAGGATTTTCTGCTCCCACCATAATGACATAGTGGTAACATGTGTGGCATTGGGAGACGTCTGTTTGTAAAGGTCAAGAGGGGAAGTGGTAGTTTTGACACCCCAATGCTTTTGATTTGATATGAACATCTGCCACATTTGGAATTTAGGAGCAGCCTCTTCATTGTACATGTACAGACTCATATAAACAAAACAGAACTTGTTCTCAGCATTCAACTTATCGCTGGTAAGCAGACGATCTCAGGGAGCGATGGATTTGTTTTTTTTTTTTTTGGTGCCTGTCCAACACTGCCACAGCAGCACTGGAATTAGCCACTCTCTGACGGCAGGCACCTTCTCTTACCACAGACCAAAGGTTGTTCCACATTGGACTGAAAAGCTTTAACCTTCACTTCTGTTGACTATCAAGTACCTTCTGCCTGCCCTTCAGATGTCCACATAGTCCTCTGAAACACACATGTTTTCTTTTCGTTGTTGCCGCAGCAGCATGTGGGTTTCCCTTAGCTCTTGCATGTGTTCTATGTTGATGGCAAATTCCTGACTGAGTTTGGAGGCAGAGCTGACTTGAAACTCCCGCAACTGTCGGAGGAGATCCTGCTTTGTCCTCTCCGCTGTTCTTTCCGTCTCCTTCTGCTTTTCATAAAGTTCATTCAGCTGAAACTTGAAGTCCCTGACCATTTTTTTGTGCATGTACAGGTGTTCAGCATCCTTTCTCCACACGCACTGCAGATCTCGCAGCCTCTCCTTCAGACGAGCTATCTCCTCCTTGTGCCTTGTCACCATCGGGGGATCTTCTTGTCTTTTCCCACGAAGCAGATCGAGGACTGCACTCAGTGTCTCTATGTTGGTTTTCATCCGTGCTCTGGCCAGCGGCTTACGCTCCATTAACATCTGCAGTTTGGCACATTCAAGCTTTTGCGAGACGTCCATGTCCCAGCCTTTGATGTAGTCTCTAACACGAGTGTCCAGACTGGACACGTGATCTCTCTCATCATCGTTCTTCTTTTTCTTCTTGTTACGACCTCTGATCACCTGTGCAGCTTCAGTCAAGTACTGAAAGACTGATTGCATTTTGCCCGTTTTTTTTTTATTACACAAACTGTTGAAGTCCGAGTAAATGCATTTCGTGCAGAAAATGCATCTATCCTTGTTGTTTGTCGTTGTTTCCCATTCTTTTGCATCGTTGTGTCCCTCCTTCAGTGGAGGAGCTGCTGTGTTTACTGTTGTTGTTGGTGGAAATGGTTTTCAATTGTAGTTAACAACCATGACATTGTTTAATTTTCTTCTTTTGCAGCATAAACTCTGTGACCTACTCTGATGTCACAAGTTGATTAGAAGATCCGTCCTTTGATTTGTGCGCCAGGGCAGATCAAAGGCAATGATAACAAACAGCCATAAAAAACAGACAAAAAAAAGATGAATTTCCAATTCAGAGGTCCACAGTCAGAATGCTAACAGACAGGCTGAAAACGTTTCCGCCCAAGTGTCCACAGTGAATAATATATCTTATACTGTAAAGAATCTCACAGTTCATCTCATTTTGTTTTTTATTGTGTATTTAAGTGTTTAGTATCCTAGTCTTTGACTTGTGCACTTCTGCGAGGATTATGTCTTAGTTAAATCGTCATTTTTCTTAGACATGTGTCTTTAATACACAGTGATGTTCCCACCTGAGGAACCAGATCTTGAATAACATTTTTGTTCATTTGGGACGATGGATTTTAAACAAGCGGTTCTGTCTCTACAATTACAACACAACATGTCCCCTTACTCAGCACTTCCACATAGCTAAAGCTTTCTAAGGTGGAATTCTGACATCGACAACAAATGCCTTTCATCTACACTCCTATGAAGTACCAAATGTACAATTAATAACTTTAAAAAAACTCTTAAAAACTTGCAAAATTGTTGTTAAACATGAAGGGTTTATAGAGTGAGTAGGCCATCATTATGGAAACCAACTCTCATAAAGAACATCACAAAAAAAGATTTATCAGAGAAGTCAGACTAAGACATTCATTTTTATAGAGGAAAAAAGAATATGATGGAGAAGCCTCCTGGTGGAAATGAAGAGGAGGAGGAGAAGGGGGCTGATGAAGAAAATAACACAATGTGTCTAAGCGCTCTAAAAATTCAAGGAAATACTGATATGGAGAATTCTTGCAAACCCCACAGGATTTTGGAGGCAGGAGACAACCCAGCTGACTGGTACCAGGAGGTGGACAGAGTCCTACCTCAGCTCAAAGTCACTGTCAGGTCAGATAACAAGGACTGGGGCTTTCACAAGGAGCAAATGCATCAACACAGAGAGGGGATCAAATCGTCCCTAAGTGAGGTCGAGGGCTACCTGGGCAAACTGTTGGAGGGCATTAACAAGGCTCAGGAAAAGGTCTGCGCCAGAGAAAAGTACATCAACAAACAGCTGGAAGAGCAGATCTGTGAGTACCACAATGTTCAGGTAAAACTGAAGGAGGTCAACGAGCTGTACCAGCAGGCCAGTGAAAGGGTGAAAGAGAAGACTCAAATCCTGGCAGAGCTCAACGGTAAAATGGACGACGCCAAGCAGGAGATGGAGCTCAAAGTCAGCAGCATGTCTGATGGAGCTCCACTGGAGAACATCAAGCAGAGCTTAAAGCAGCTGAGGAAGGAGATTGTACAGATGGATGTAAGAATTGGCGCCATCCAACACACACTACTGCGGGCCAAGGTCAAAGAAAAATTCAACAAGGCGCAAAACACGCAGACCATGAACTAAGTTCTGCCCACATGAGTGGATGGGGTCACAGATTGTGTACATATTAACTTATTTGGTGACAAACCCATGACCTCTCACAACCAGACTCATACTGAGCAACACTGGCTGTTAATCTCAATGCAACCACACAAGTCTGTGGTTTGTGATTCTGTAGAATCTATTGTCCAGTCAACGGGACCAACAAATATACCATCAAATATACAACTGAAATTATGTTCTACTGAAGACAACTTGAAACTAGTGGCTAATAAGGGTTTATCTTACGTTGCAGGATTAGCTGAGCTTATCTGGTCTTAGAGGAAACAAATATCAGTTTGTCTAAATGTTGTTAAAAGCTCACTATGCAAGGAGAATGTTGGCGTAAAGTTGTATCAATTGTTGGAGGTGTACAGCTCTGCACCACATTTAGCCGGGCCGGTCATATCAACGGCAAACACGCGTCTGTCAGGCGGTGCATGGTTTCTTATATCGAGTCCACCATTAATCTCCAAACATGTATATACTCATGTTAAAGGACAAAATATAGAACTATGAAGAAAGACTTGCAATAGTGCTCACACCACCACCTGCAGGGGAGAAGGGGAACTACATGTTCTCTGTTACAAAGTCAGACTTACTAAGTCAAACCATGCACACTATTTGCTAAAGACTATCCTTAAATGATCACAATTATCCCAAATAGGCAGTACTGTTGGTAAGTCAAAAATATCATGTAGATATCCTACATCTAGTCCTAGTTATTTATTGTGCACATTTGTTTTATTTGTATATGTTAGTTTCTAGAATATGTAAAATCATTTATTACACAAGTGCCTTGTCTTTTTATCTATTTCTTTGTTTTACGTTGACAACAACAAATAGGATATACTTTTGTTCTAGATCTTTATTTTCCATTTCAGGACATTTGTAAATATTTCTACTTTCTAATTTGTTCATACTTATGTGAGTTAGTGCGACATTTTTGTTCACTTGAAACAAGACAGACATTCAGGATGGGCTTAGGTCTTGTTAGGCCTACGACCCTGATAGCCTAAAAACCGGAAGTGGAAAAATGTATTCAAACACATGTATTCTTATTTATTTCTGTCAATAAGCCCGCCCCAGTGTTCTTATTCAGGACCTTTAATTATGTTTTAGATGAAAGCTGTTTACAAAAAAATGTCTGAAAAAAAAAAAACAGAATTCAAAATATGAAAGCAGAGGGAGTTTTGGAGGTTTGCACTTTGTTGTGGTTTGACTAAGTTAACATCAGAGGATGAGGAGGGGGATGAGGGGGAGGAGAAACAGGAGGAGGACTGACCTGTTGCGATGAGAGTATTTGTTCCCTCGGAAGTTTGGCCTTGGCTGCAGCTGCCCCTGTCGGAGGAGGGAGAGGAGCTGAGAGATCTGCTGCAGGAAGGAGGAGAAAGAGGAGGAGGGAGGTTAATTAGTTAGTCTCCTAACTAAGGTGAATCTGAACCAATTATTCTCCACACAGCAGAGTCACAAAACAACAAATTCAGGCTAAATAACAGAGGCAGCAGTGACTGAAGAAGTCGCCCAGGATAATGATGTTGAAATTGTAGATTTTCTCACAGAGGTTTGTGTCTGAAGTCGAACATTTTTCAAATGGTGTTTTCTGTGTAAACTGCTAAAAACTTTGGTTTTCTGCCTGAGAAGTTTGGATGAGAGTAAAAAAACATCTCATAATATAGAAGACTCAGGTTGACATGGATTTCCTGCTTTTACTGAAAGCCTGTATCTCAGCGACGAGGTAATGGTGAGTTAGAATGTCATAACATTAAAAATAAATCATTCAGGGTGGTTTTGAGCAAATGCAGATAAAAAGTTCATAAACATCCTCTCTCTATTGGTGTGTGTGTGTGTGTGTGTAGCTATGTTTGTGTAATAAGTTAGCTTAACAGTGTGAGAACGACCAGCTCACAGACTTTCTGCTGACAGCTGCTATGTTTTAGAGCAGATACACACAATAGGGAGGAAACACATGCACACACACACACAGATACGCACACACTGATGTGTGCATGTGCACGCTAATATTTGACTTTGTTTAAACCGTGACATTTGTGTGTTTTCTGCACGTGTGCACTGCTGCCGCACCAACAGGAAGTGGCCTCTGCGTAAAAGCCTATTCTTCTCAGACACATTTCCTTCCAGGATGGACTCCAGAAATTCAGACCAGTTAGGAGAAAGACAGAGAGAGTGAGTGAGAATGGGCGAATGTACTGTATGAACATCTGTGTGTGTGTGTGTGTTAAAGTGGAGGTGAAGCCTACTGGCTGCTGGGTAAAAAAAGAAAAGGCCTCTTCCTTTCACTAATGCGATTCATGTGAGTGTCAGACCTGATTGAGCTCCTTTGTTCTGTCTGCTGGGCGTCGCCTGCGACTTCCCTGGCTGATGCTGCTTTATTTTTATATATTATTGCTTCTGATGTCACCACAACAAATAAAGCTAAATGCATTTCTTGAATTTTTATTTATTAATTTTCTTTCATTTCTGAATTATTTATTGAGTGTCAAAGTAGTGTCAAAGTACTGCAGAGGATTTAAATCCTCTAGAATAATAGTCATTGGTCTGTGCACAAAAACCCAATTTGCACCAGAATGCTTCACAAACATTAAGTTTAAATTATTAAACTTAATTATTTATAATTTTATGACATGTCTCTGAGCAAATATCTGTAGATGGTTGACAAATAATTCAACAAACACGCCCATTTTTTGGAGTAAAAACAACAGAATATAAACATCTTTATCCATACATCACATACATACATCTTTACTGCTTCAGTTGTACTGCTGTACACACTTCCTCATTGTTTTATACAGGTATGTCACCAGGTGTAATTTGTACACCATCCAGCTCACACAACAGAGACCACAGACTCCTGAACTGTTGCTGTGGAACAATGAAACGCTTTTTCATAGGCTGACCTAGAGACCCAGGCATATCTGAAAACTGTATTTATGAATCAGACATTTTGGTTTTTCCTGCGTTTTCTAAGAAACTCAATCACACTCTTTTTTGACCTGAGGTTTATAGAAGACTAACACTGCAGCATTCCATAACAATAGAGCCACATGTTTTTGAATGTAAAACCCATTTAATCAGAAGAGAGAGGGAAGTTTGAGTAGACATTATCCTCCAGTCTCTGTGCCGCTTCAGTGTCCTTTTGCTTTTTTTAGTCTGAAATGTTTTTTTTTTCCTCTCAGCTGAAGTCAGTAAAAGTGATTTTTGGGTCATTTGTTAGTGACACAGCGGCATGTTAGAGTGATGTCAGCTTCCACTACAAACACATCTCAGCTTACTTTGGCTGACCTCCCCCACAACAAACTCCCCCTAACCTCCTTCATCCCAGAGAGCAGAGGAGAAGCTCAACCCCCTCGTCTCCCTCTCCCCACTGACCCTCCACCCCCAGCCTCTTCACTCCTGGACTGGTTTCAATATGAATCTGATATGGGATATTTGACTTTTTCAACAAAATGAACTGTCAACTTTTTTTCTGGTGTCTGTGACACATGAGCACATGAATAAACTCTTGGGCTTCGCAGCCATCCATCAGCTTCTCTCACACACACATGCACACACACACACAGACGTCTCCAGCCGTCAGCCTTAAGGCCGTCTGAGCAGAGAGGCTGTTGGGAAAATGTAAGAGAAGCTGGTTTGTGTGTGAGATGGGGGTTTGCAGACTTACATTCTGCTCTCTAATGGACTTCACTTCAGATTAATCTCAAAGCCTGCCAGAGGTAGGGCTGGGGGCAGGAGAGGGTGGGGGGGGACGATTAATTACACTCCTGCACTAAAGTGTAAGCACATGTTGGAGTAAATGTGATCACACATGTATGAATGAAGGGAAATGACTTTGAAATGAGAGCCAGCAGCAGCAGCAGCCGAACAGTCTTTAAGCAACAGTAGAAAATATAAATGTTGAATCATTAATGAAGGCTGGGTTCATTACAGCCAATTAAATGACACTTGATATTGTTACAGGATGTAACATCAGGGACGCAGAGGCATTCTTTATGCAATGCACAGATATTTGAAAAACTAACTTGTGGAGCAGTAAATTTAAGAGTCTGATTAGTGATTAATTATATGTTTAATTAATGTATTCTCATTTGTGTATACAGAAGTAAATATATGCTAATTTATTTAATCCAATATTTTTGGTTTGCTTAGAACATTAACTTTAAGCTGTTGTGACACCTTTGGACCATTAGTTTAATTTGTGTGCAGCATTCTCCAGTGATGATGGTTTGAGTTGAGGCTGTTACTTTGGGTTAAATGTCACAAACTGAAGTTTGTGTTTCTCTCACTCTCCCTTAATTACCTGCATGACATAAACAACATGTTGAATTATTGCTCCATCCGTCATTTTATGTTATTATAGGAAATCACTGTTTGACATGAGTGGAGCAGGTGGCAGCTTCTATGCTGCTACGATGTAAAAACATTATATTTTCCCTAAAGACTTTGGTGAAGGATAGCGAACAGTTTCCAAACCTTACTCTGCTCTGGAGTTATTGTGTTTGCTGGTTAAAATATGTATTCTTGGTGCTCAACAAGCAGGCATTTTTAGTTAACTGAATTATGGATCTGAACTTTTGCTATTTTATTAATATTATGCAAAAAAAATTGATGTCAAAGTCTATGCTTATAATTTAAATTATATTTACAAACAGTTAGACAATGAGCAGATTATAGCTCAATGGTGCATGTCAAGCAGGCAATTTCCTGGGGCCCCAAACAGGATGGGAGGGGCTAACAATGGTGTAATAAAAATTACACCATTGTTAGCCCCTATAATTTCATTTATCTCTCAGAGAGAGAAATTATACAAATTAGACATTTATACCCAAGCTATACTGGTTTTGGTCCAGAACCAATTAACTTAAGGTCTCCAAATTTGCCATGTAGCAACTGTGGACAATAGATGAAAAAATGGCAACAGCTTTCTCACCTGCACCTCTGGTGAAGCAGAGGACAGCTCAATGGAGTCTCCAAACGCTGCCATGGACAGACGAACCAGGTTTCTGAGCATTTGCCGATGCTCTGCGTCTCGGATTCCCTGACTTTCCGATGTCTTTGGCCTCCTGAGAGTAGCTTGTGACCCCATACATGCCTGGTCAGCCTCTTCCTTTTTAGGTTGAGTTTTGCGCTTTAATGTGCTTGAATATGATGTTGAAGATGATGATGAAGTGTTCCTGGTTTTTCGGGTTAGAGTTTGGTAGGATGATGCCGGCGTCAGAGGTAGGAGAGAGGAACCATCAAGTTCAATGTTTCCAGGTTTTCTGAGAGTTCTGCAGTGATGGGTTACTGGTTGAGTTGTTTCTCCTTCTGGGTAGCCTTGAGAATGAAAGCTTGTGTTCAAGATTGATGGCATTAAGTTATATTCTCTTTCTTTTTGTTGCTCCACTGACAAAGCTGGAGGTGGGGACAACGGCTGGGCTTCACTGTCATCCTCAGAAGACTCTTCTTTTCTTCCGCGTATTACAGGGATAAGCTGAATGTCAGATTTTCTGATGTTCTTCTGTGGTCGACGAGGATGGCGCGTGTAGGTCGATTCCGCCTGTCTGCAGTTGTAAGCGCGGTTGTCCCTTTTCTCAGGGCGGCACAGTGTTGTCACCAAAGCAATGGCAAACAGAAGCAAGAGGCATGTAGCACCCAGGCAGACAGCTATCATCATTGTGAAACTTAGCTGCCCACTGTTGCCAGGTGATGAGTTCTTCAGGTGGTCCTTGAGATTTATAAATGTTACCTCTAAGCTCACTTTTGTGGTCAAACTGGGTGTACCCTTGTCTGATACAGAAACATCCATCTTGAATGTTTTCCCAATTAGCTCAGTTGCATTTGTGGTGTTAACAAAGAGCTGCCCTGTAACCTGATCCAACACAAAGAGACCTCTGGGGTTTCCATGACTAATGAAGTACTGAAGTTCACTATTAATCCCTGAGTCTGCGTCTTCAGCTTCTATGGTGGAGGCAAGAAATCCAGTGTGTTCTTTCCCAACAGGAGGACTAATTGCCATATCAGATAGCATGTCCTCCATTTCTTTACCAAGTTCTGTCACTATCTCCCCTCGGTCTGCATTAACAGGTACACTCAAAGACACTACATCATTTTTAGGTTTTGGTTCCTTAATGACAGGATAGTTGTCATTCACATCTTCTAAATCAATTTGCACAGTTGCTGTGCTGGTAAGTCGTGGATGACCATGGTCAACGGCCTCTACAATAAAAGAGTAGCTTTTGGATTCTTCATAATCCAGAGGATGATTAATGCTTATAACACCACTGGTTGGATGGACAGAGAAAGACTGGGTGTTGTTGATGCTGTTAGAATTGTAAATGAAATAAGATACTCTTCCACCGAGATTCAGGTCAACATCGTTGGCCTCAACTTTGAGAGCGTGGTAGCCTGCAACATTGTTCTCTTTCACAGTAATCCTATAGTGGGATTTAGTAAACACTGGGGCATTATCGTTCTCATCTAGAACATGAACAGGCAGTTGTTTAACAGAAGACAATGAAGGCTCGCCATGATCCTGGGCAAGGAGAATGATGTTGTACTGCATTACCTTCTCTCGATCCAACTGGCCATCAGTTACAATCATATAATTGTCACCTTGGATGTGCTTGAGGCGAAAAGGACCAGATCCCTGTTCAATCCGTACTGTCACTCTGCCGTTGTTCCCTGAATCTGCGTCAGAGACCATCACCAGAGCCAGAAAGGTGTCAATCCGTGCTCCTTCTAGCACCGTTGCCGCAGGTGATTCTGGTGGAGTCCAGGTCATGTGTATCCTTGGTGCATTATCATTGACATCTGTTAGCTTTACATGTAATTTGCAGTGTGATGGGATTGCGTTGGGCCCTTGATCTCTGGCCTGGATTACCACTTCATAAGAGGGGTGGGCCTCATAGTCTAGGGGTGCTCTGAGACTCACAGCACCGCTGTGGGGGTCCACATAGAAGAGCCTTTGCACTTCTAAACGAGTGTGCTTACTTAACAAATACTCCACTTCTCCATTAGCACCCTGGTCAGGGTCAGTAGCCTTGAGGTTGATGATGGTTGTCCCACGGGCTGTGTCCTCTGGTAGCTCCACAGTGGGTGTGGAATTCTCAAAGGTGGGACTGTTGTCATTGGAATCCTGAATGATGATTCTAACTATTGTACTCCCAGATTTGGGCGGATTGCCCTTATCCCACGCCACCAGTGTAAGGTTAAAAGAGCTTTCCACCTCCCTGTCCAGTGCCTTAATGACGACAAGCTCTGCTTGTTTTGTTCCTTCCGGACCAACAGTCACATCCAAAGCAAAGTGTTGGTTAACAGACAGTGAGTACGTTTGGAGGCCATTCGGGCCAGCGTCTGGATCCACCGCACGGTCCAGAGGGATTCTCATTCTGAGGCTGGCTGTCTCTGAAATCTCCACCTCCTGCAGAGTGCTGGGAAAGGTAGGGCTGTGGTCGTTTAGGTCCATCACCTCCACATGAACCCTTAAGCAGTTCATAGCACCACTTTTCCTGTACAGGACACTGAAGGCCACCTCACACAGGTCAGAACCTCGGCACAGCGCCTCCCTATCCAGTCGTCCTTGGGTGGAGACAACACCATCTCTGGTGCTGACAGTGAAGGGAAGGGCTCTTCCGTTTTCTACCACCTGGAAATCTTCCAGGGGACCAACCTCGTCTCTCCGCCGGAGGTCATCCAACAGCCGGCCGACCTGAGTTCCTGGTATCTGCTCCTCCTGAACTTGGTACTGGATAGTTATTGATGATGACTCAGAAGAGTGAGACTCGGAGCAAAGAACCAAAACCAGAAGCAAAGGCAGCAGCATGATGATGGCAGGTATAAGTATTTTCTTCTGTCCACTCACTAAACTGACATTTTGTTTACATTCAGTCTAAAAATACTTTTGAAACTTTAAAATTAAAACAACTAAAAAGACCTTTTCTATATTCCGATATAAATAAAAAATTACTAATATACCTAACTCTAAGAAAAGTATCTAGAAAACAAAAAGAGACATAAGGAGACAGAATCATAGCCTCATCAGCCTCTCCTTCAGCACTCTTTTATCTGCCTCATACTGTAACTCACTCATGCTGCTGCCGCTGCTGGGATCCGGCCTCCTAGTTCATCCTACACTTTGCAGAGTTTTTCTTGAACTGGTAAAGTTTGGATGTGGGTTTCCACATGCTCTGGAAGCAGCAACCAATCAGAAGATCAGGAGGAGGAGAATCCACACTCCACACACAAGAAAATCCCTCCTCTCCTTCCTTCTCCTCTGCTGCCCTTAGGAAAGTCAGAGGCACCACTGTGAAGTGTTTTTTTAACGAAACACGACACCACCACCATTAAAACCCCCAACCCAGAAAAAAAAAAACTTAAAAAAACTAAAAAAAAAAAAAAACCTAAAAAAACTAAAAAAAAAAAACTCAAAACCCTCTGCCTGGTCATTTAAATCTTTTGTAGATTTGGTGTTAAGTTAAAACCTACCAGCAGGTCAAACTTGGGGTCAGGGCAACGAGAGACAAGTCACTTAACTCCCATCAAAGTGATGTATGGACACATGGGGGGTACTGACAACCAAAACACAAACACAGAAAGAAGATAGACCATCATTTAACATGAGGTGACAGCTTCAGACCTGGTGGTAACACTATTAACATTTCTTGTAACAACTTTTAAAATAACAGCAACGCAGTAACACTTTAAAATGCCGTTGTGGAAAGGTGTTTGCAAATTTACACAGTGAAGTGTTTATTTCTTTAGCTGTTTCTTAGTGTTGGGTAAAACATTCCCTAATCAGATCCTACAACATGTGAAAAATAACTTCATTCAAGGAGAAATATATACCAGGAAGAATTTAAGATTGTTTTCTAGCAATGTTTTTTTCTCTCTCTCTCTCTGAAGTCTAAGCATGTGTACAGTTGGCAGCCGTTCGGTTAGGATGGAGGCTGAAGCAGTCCTTGAAGATTCAACCAGCTATGACATGAATGCTGAGACTTTAGAAGCCTGTCCTTAATGTGACAGAAGCCACATTCCAGCTCTTGATTATAATTATTATGAAGAGCTATAGCAGTTAGAAAAAAGTTTGTAGCACGACTGGGCGTAAGCTCAGTCTGCCTATCTTTCCAGAGCAGAACAAAGTTTAATAATGTTACAACCCTGAACTATGTCTTTGAGTTAATGAGGTGAAGAAAATACTAATGAGAATTATTGATCACCTGTTATCCCCCCTTCAAAGGGGATTTTATTTTTATTTTTTTATTTTAACTTGTATTACAAAGGATTAGAGCTTCTGATGAAATCACTGCAAAACTCAACTGACACAGTTTTCAGTCTGTGCGAGTTGACTTTTAAGTCTCAGAAACCTTGACAACCTCAAATTAAAACCATTAAAGCCAGTTGGTGCTCTCAGATCCACCAACAAGAGATAAATATTTTCCCAGTGCGCACAGAGCTTATTTTTCATTCAGTCCCAGAAATATCCTGCAGGCTGAGAGAGAGAATCAGGCTGTGGAGGCTTCAAGCGTATCATTTTTCTCTCTCCCTCTCTCTGTGTGTTTGGAGACTGTGTAAGCCATAGGTCAGCTGTCAGTGAAAGATGGACGAGCAGAGACGTAAAGGAGAAAAACTCTTACTTTACTGTACATGGAAAAACATATTTCAGTTTGGACAGAATTTTAGTCATTTGAACAAACATTGTTTATGATGTGATTTGATGACTGTTAAAATACTTGATGTGATTTTAAATGACTAACATCATCATTCTGTCATTGAAGGACAGAGATTTTTATTTATGACACCAGTTTGTGTGAAGGACTTTGAAGGTTAAAAAGAACTCTGGTCAGTCAACATAAACAGTAGCTGTAATACAATATAATATTTCCTTTTTTTTAATGAGGTTCCCTTGCAATACTATTGATAATTTAAACATATTTACAGGCAAAAAAAAAGAATAGAATAGATGCTTTCCCCTGAGGCGTATCTAAAGAGATGTTTGTGTGAACTGAAGCTAATTTGGAAACATTTTACGGTGGACGTTCTATACTTACAAACTTTATGGAGTGTTCGTTGTTGTTTGACTAAAACCTGATCTGGGGTGGTAACTCAAAGAGCATAGGGTCAACCAATCAGATTAGATTATCAACAAAACAAACACCATCAGCCTCCTGTCTGCAGCCAATCAACTGTCATTGAGTGTGTGCGTAACGGTAAGAGAGCTTTAGCAGATACACTCACTGAAACACACACTAGCTCATCTGTTTCCAGTTAATCTACCACCTGTAGAAGTGAGTGTGTGTGTGTGTGTGTGTATGTGTGTGTGTGTGTGTGTGTGTGTGGTCGAAACATTCCCTACCATCAATGCGACTCTCTGAAAGCCTTTGAACATTAGCTCTTTTAGACCTCATTTACAAAAGGTCTCGTCTGGAAGACATAGAAACATCTTAGAGTGGGCTGCAAATTTAAACCAACAAAGGATTTTTTTTTCACTCACTCCTTCCTTTCCCAGGAGGTCCACGGTAGTACAGTGACCTTTTCAAACAGCAGACTGTAATTATATTTTTTGCAAATACCTATGATGGTTTTTTTATTATTATTACTGTGGTTTATTATTCAGGTTAGTGTTAGTGGAGTTTTTTATGTTTTCTACCGTGTCACAAGATAATTAATTTATAGCTGAAATATTATGGAATATATGAAAGAGTTAAGAAATAAAATACATCTTGCAAAGTACCATAATAGTAAACTCACACATCTGGTAGCTTTCTCGGACAGACTTGTGTTTAACATCTGTGTGTCTGATCATTACATCTGCATGTGCACTTATGCTTGAATGTGTCCTTTTGTGTGTATTTGAGACCCTGGAACTTTCTGGTATAAACACTAACTGAACACTACTGGACCTTTACTGGTCTGTTGATATTATTACATTCCATGCACAAGATGTGCAGACACAATAGTGTGACGGTCAGGTTGCAACATGGGTTAATGTGATCCTGACCTCTAGGCAGCCTGAATGAGCAAAGTTTTTTTCTCTCTCTCTCTCTCGTTTTTACTGTCTGCTACGGGTTGGGATTTCACTAGAAGTCACTGCTGTACTACTACTTGGTAGAATCTCGCACCATGTGATTTACTCTGTGGTCTTAAAGTTACTTTTAGAATCATATCTGCTAAGCTCATGCCACAGGCACATGGCCAGGTAAAATGTCTTTATTGAGAGGTGTGTGCATGTGTGTGTATAAGTGATTCCTTGTGACCCCATTAGCAGCCTTTTGTTTGGCCTGAAGGCTACAAGCAGCTGAAAAAGCCATCCTCCATTCTGCTTCTTGTTGCTAAAAGCAGGATGTAGCTGATATGCTGACCCTCGTGTTGTCTGATAAGAATCACAGTGGAAGAAGACAAACAGCGTAGTAAGAGGATGCACTCTGGCTGTGTGTGTGTATGTGTGTGTGTGTGTGTAGCTCCATTCATTTTCTAAATTAACTTTATGACCTTGCCGTAGTTTTTCGTCACATCTTATTTTTATGTAACCCCAGACAAATTCAGCCAAACAAAAGCAGGAAAGAACAGAGGAAATGTATGTAGCGCAGTCAAAACACACATGTAAGAAAATTCAAGCAATACTTTCTTATTTTAAAATATGAGAAATGAAATATACAGCCGTCTTTCAACGTCCGATCAGTGATGGAGTTGAACCCATTCACCTCCTCCCCCCTTACATTGTTCCACTGCCTGGGATTTGTTTGTGTATGTGTTGACCTCTGACCTCACCACTGCGTCTCCCTCCTTGTCTCGTCATCACCTACTCTTTGTATGCCTGTCTGTCTTTTCCTTAAACCTTTCTGCCGGACCCCCTCCCTCTTTCTTCTTCTGCATCTGGAAACAACCTTCCTGCCACGGGAAATGGCCTGATGGTGGAGTTCAGCTACAGAATGCCCTGAGGAGAAGTGAGGAAGGGAGAAAAGAACAGGGGGAGAGGAGAAAAGGAAAGACATCTTTAAGTTTCTACCAGAGGCAGCTGCAGCTGCTCCTTTCTGTCTGTTGAAGTACAACAACCAGGTGTATACGAGAAATGCTGTCGCCTTGTGGTGAAACACGACAATCACATCAAAGAGATGAAATTGAAAATTGAAGAATATCTGATTGTTCTTTGTCATTCTGATCTGGAAGTTAACCTATTGGGTTTCTTACATAATCTCCCTCTCTGTCATTGCCAGACTCAATTATGCAACCCTCTGTCGGTCATTTCTCTGTTACCCCCATTAATGTGCAAATGTTTAGGGAGAAACACTCACTAGGTTTGAGGGTCACACAAATCATTGGGTGATTACTTTGGTTCTTAGAGGTATTTAATCAACCATGAAATTGTTATCCAGTGGAGCACTCCTAATGTCAATGGACAAACATATTGATAATTTCTTTGAAAAATATTTGGCACCATTTACCTAATGGAAACTCCTGGCCCTGCTGAGGAGCTTCAAAGTCCTGTTGTTTCATATTGCCTTTGATAATTGGTGATGTCACTACAACAGCAAACCTTACGCAACCAAATATAAAACAAAAATGGCGTCAGCCTGGGAACAAGTACTCATGGGATAGAACATTCACTAACATGTTTTATGTGGCTTTCCTTATTGGCTTTGCAATTACACCAGCCATGAGGAAACTTGTTGAGTATTTTGTCCGTTCCCGGGACAAGAAGCAAGCCAAGAAAAAACATAAGGAAAAACACAAGCGTAATTTGGGTTCCCAAGATGCTGAGAGTGAGAGTGGAGCAGACGACAGCAAAGCTGCACTGAGAGATGCCCGTGTTACTGCATCCTCAGATGAAGCAGTTCCTTCTGGTTCAGTAGAAGATGATTCATCAGAGCCACTGTGGTCGAAGATTTGCAATGTTTTGCAGGGTTTTACTGACAGTGCAGCAGTGGAAGACACTCCTGCTGAGGGCAGCACACCTGGAGAAGAGAACATTTCTGAACTAGAAGGAGAAGATGCCTCGGCAAAGCCACTGTGGTCAAAAATTAGCAATGTATTGCAGGTTTTCAGTGACAATACAGAAGAAAAAGACAGCCATGTTGAAGAGAAAATCAGGGATTCTTCATATGTAAATAATGCTTCCCAACCAGGTTCTTCCAGTGTGACAGAAGAACCTTCAGCAGAGCCACTGTGGTCAAAAATTTGCAATGTTCTGCAGGGTTTAGGTGACAGTGCGGTACAAGAAGATGACCACACTTCAGAAGAGGCTTTAATCAATGCAGTAGCAGACAACATTCCATACCCAGAAGAAGCATGTGTCGATGCTAATGTGGAAGACACATCCACAGGCCCAATGTGGTCACAAATTTGCAGTGTGTTCCAAAGTTATACTGACAAAGAAGTGGTAGAAGATGTTTCTGTATCTGAAACACACATTCCTGGATCACGAGACGAACTATTTGAAGGGACTGACCCAGGAGGAGCATCCCTTCATGCTAGTGTGGAAGATGCTCCCTCAGCACCACTGTGGTCGAAAATTTGCAATGTATTTAATGCTGCACCAGAAGATACCAGTGTGTCTACAATTGACGAGAAAGGCCCTGCATTAGAACAGACTTTGGTTACTACTGCAATGGACAACATATTAGAACAAGAAGAATTCGAATCTCCACAACCATTGTGGTCAAAAATATGCAATGTTTTGCCTGGATTCAGTGACACTGCAGTCCAAGAAAGCACCTCTGTATCTGAAGACCCTGCTCCTGGACTAGAAGACCAACGTCCTGAACAGGACATAGTATGTATTCCTTCTATTGTGGATGAGGCTCCAACAGAACCACTATGGTCAAGACTGTGCAATGTTCTGGGTGGGAGTGGCAATGATACAAATATTCCTTCGGCGTCAAATGGCACTCCGGAAGCAGAAGTGGCCTATGTTTCTTCCACTTTGGACGGCGCTCCATCTGGTTCACAGGAAGACACTCCTACAGAGCCACTGTGGTCTAAAATCTGCAGTGTCTTACCAGGTTTCAGTGACACTACAGCACCAGAAAGCTCTGAATCGGAGGGGTATGATCGTGGACCAGGAGTGGCAATAAGCCAAATGTCTGAGACCGTTATTCCTACTGTGGTAGAAGACGCTTGCACAGAGCCACTGTGGTCCAAGCTTTGCAATGTGTTTGAGGTTAGGAGTGACAATGAAGAAGAGAAAGTCATCAATGTTCCTTTATCAGTGGGTAGAGCTGAACCAGAAGCAGCTCTACAACCAGATTCTTCTGGTTCAGAAATAGACACTTCCACAGGGCCACTATGGTATAAAATTTGTAATGTTTTGCAAGGTCACAGTGACAATGGGACCACAGAGAACAGTCATGACGCTGTTTCAGAGGAAGCTGCTCCTCAACGAGAACAAGTATGTGGTCCTGCTTCTGTAGAAGATGGTCCTGTGCAGCCATTCTGGTCAGGACTTTACAGTGTATTCCAGGGTGGCAGTGACAGTGTTGAGCAGGATGTCCCATTATATGTAGATAATGCTCCTATACTAGAAGGATCATGTGTTGAACCAGAAAATGCAGATGTTTATGCAGCTGTGGAAGACACCAGTGGAGACGAAGAAGCCCTTGATGCTGCTGGTATAGAAGAGTCACCCTCAAAGTCATTATGGTCTAAAATGTGGAATATAATGTGGGGTAATAGTGACAGCGAAGACCAGGAACAGGCTGTGGACGACACTCCGCAGGAGGTCTGGTTTGATGCTACGGTAAAAGCTGGTTCCACAACAAAAACATATTGGTTTGATACGGATGAGGAATATGTTCCTGAAAAAGACGAAGCCTGGTTTGATGCATCCCAAGACACAAGGCTTGTACCAGAAGGACCCTGTACATATACAACTGTGGACAATGTCTCTACAGCGTCCATATGGTCAAGACTCTATAACTCTTTTCATTACATATTGCAGTTTATTTTATTTGGGAATGAAGAAGAATCAGAAGCTGAAACTGATTATTCTGACCCTGCAAATAATTATTCTCAACCAGATGGGTTCAGTGTTTCTTCAACTGCGGCTTACATTCCTGAACCAGGAGAGAAATCAGAGAAGGTGAGAAAGAAAAAAAGAAAAAAAAGAAGAGAACGAAGAAAGAAATGATGGACCCTATAGAAACCCAACTTAAGAACTGCACTGGAAAGAGAAGGAGGCAAATGCAACTTTAAAGATGACTTTAGAGGAATCAGAATTACCAGAGGCCTGTCTTCCTGCAGATGCCATCAACGGTCTATTTCATTTCTGAAATGAATTCACAGATGCTGGACAATAATGTGGTATGTAGCACCTGAATTCTCTAAGACTAAACATTTTTTCTATTTAAAACTGGTATAAATGCTTGTTTAGCCCCAAACTGTTGACAACACAGGCATTCAGAAAGTATTACACACCATGTAAAAACTAATGTTTCAAGTTATATTACTTTGGTGAACCTATCAAACTAAGGTTAACTGCTGATGACGTATCAAAAGTCACATTAACAGCACTGGGGCAAGTGTATTACCAAAGCCTAGTAGCCTAGCATTCCCATCTTTGTAAAAGCATCTGTTTATTAACTGAGTGTGGGACATTTTAGACAACAGGGAATTGAAGACTTGTCAATTGTTGTCAATTCTTTAACAAAGTGGGAAAAGCTTGATTGGTAATGACCAGCACTTTGAGCAGTTTGACAATGTTCAAAAGGAAGAACCAGACCTTTTATATAATGAATAATTACTAGATTCATTAATAGTTTTCTTGTTAAGCTGACGGTAGAACGTGTTGTGATAAAATAAAGACAATGTAAAAAAGGGAAAAGACGTGGTCAATAAAAATTGTATTTGTATATGGATGGTGTGACTGAGCCTAGGACGTCTGGATGAATTACTTTTTAATTCAAATGTGCGAAATTTTGATTGCAATGCAATTATCTGTCGACTATCTTTCAATGGAAATACAATAAATCTTTATAAGTATGACTTTGGCTTCTATGTCCATGTATAAAATATACAATGGTGTTTAATCAAAGCATGTTAATGAGAAATATTTTACACTTGTACATACATACACTTTAGTGATTTACTGAATATTTGTCCACTATAGAAAACGGCTCTGATTTAGTAATTTTAAATATAATATATGTCTATACATATACATTTAAAGACAAAAGTTTTTATTTCTAAAAATGAATGTAATATGGAAAAATACGTCTTTGTTGGAGACGAATATGGTGCAGTAATTGTATCAAACCTCTAGAGGTCAGTGTAGGACAGACAGTCTGTTAGTTCTACGGGTTTCTCGATTAGAACGTTTGCTTCCGATTGCAAACGTCGGATTCAGAACACCAAGTGAAAATATCTATTAGAACTTAGAGAATGTAATTATTGGCAAATGTACTGAATTGCAAACATATTCTGTGTTCTGGGAAATGTATATTCGCTGTGGGAGTTCGGTCTTTACTACGACTTCACATCTGCGCAGAAATGCTTTGGTCTGAATGCTTGCAGCAGTTGAGGAGGAAGGGGGAGAGCAGGGAAAAGGAGGAGTTTTCGGGGGAGGCCAGATGATGCTGTGGCCGTCAGTGAAAGGAAAAGGAAGAAAAAAGGAGGGGGAGGTCCTAGTCGCCGGCTGCAGCATCATCAGCATCAGCATCACTTGCGTTGCTCTTCTCCTTGTGGATGATAGTGACAAAACGGGTGGAATTAATGGACTGTGATTCGAACATGTGGTGCTCGAAGACAATCTAGTGTATATGTTTGTTTTTTTGTTCTGTTTGAACAAGAATCCCTGAAAGAGAGGAGCTAAAATGCTGCCTTGCGCTTCTTCGGCGCAGATGGAGGAGAAGGAGAGGGAGGCACACATGCTAACAGAGGTAAGCAGAAAAAATAACTATTTTCTTCCTTCTCTTTTGTTTTTGCACCTAAACCGCACTTTCAGCAATAAAACGGTCCTTTTAATGCATGCTCCTGTTTGAATGGTGGAACGTTGTTTCATGGGCTAGTTTTACTTCTTCTCGCTGTGATTCGCCGGCCGGTTTCTGCTGGAGGTTGCAGAGGAGGAGCCGGACCCCTCCCTAAATTTGGCTGTCCCTTCGCCATTTGCTCGGGTGTCATCCACCTCCCTATTATGCGCTTTTGTTATTTCGCAGATTTAAACTATGGAATTTTCTGGAAGGCAGAAACATTGAGAAAGTGTAGCATACAAGTTTGTGCCCTTAAGCAAGAGGAAAGCCGCTCTAAAAGGTGCAGTGATATTGGCATACTGTACCAACAATATAGGAAAATAAAGTTAATCCCTTTTTTGTAATTGGTTTCAAATTCTATATGTTAATTACATGGACGCTGCCCTCTTTCTCTTTTGTGAGTGGCTGCCTGCATCAGGTTTATCATTATTGACAGTTGGTAAAATAAGGTCAGTAGATGGGAGTAAAACAGCTCCCGTTTCTTTAACCATGCAGAGCCTCGGAAGACATGTTAATACATCATGTTTCTCAAAACAGGGCAACCAGACCCAAACCAGACCCAGTCGCTCTAGTGGTGCATGGGGGAATCTTATTCTTGATTAGGGAAATTGATTTTTTTTTTTTTTAACAGCCGTTTAGGCTAAGTCAATATTAAGGGGTTCAAAGGGTTCCTGATTTTAGTAACCAAAATGTTGGTGTTAGTAACTATATTAATAATTTTTTTTCTTCTCTTTAGTGGAGCCTCAATATTCCAAATGTTGGGAATCTCTGAAGTCTGTGCACTGCCCTACAGAAAAATGATTAATTCAAATTAGTCTTTACTATAAAATGGACAACTGTTTTAATATGTGATTGGCCAGATTGGAAAGCCGAAGTATCTGGTCCACAATGCTCATGCATGGTTTATGAGCATAGAAAATATCGTCCGATCTTTTTCAGGAGTTCTAGAGTGTTACAGTAAATGGAAGGTTTGGCTGCCTTCTCCATTAGCCATAATGTAAATATGTGGCCTAGCAAG